CTGGAGTCGTGCATTTGGGTTCTGGTGTTACGCCCATGAGAACGAACCCGCCAAGCATGGGCCAAGCCGACTCACCTGTTGCTCAGTCGGTAAACTAAGGATACCTGTTATTAGTCCATGCTAAAAACTGAGCTATTAAAGGAAATCATTCATTGGCTCCTCTCATTAGACCAACCCATCCTTAGCAGGAGTGACCACTCTCCAAAAATCATCAAACTTTATCCAACCAATATAAAAGAATCAATATAAATAAATATTTAGATTCCAGATTTACGATCAATCCATTGATGCATCAAAACTGTCACGATTGCATCTCCTTGTTAGTATTGTGTTGACTATCCCCGCCTGTCATCAGGGAGACCGTGGTTCGATTCCCCGATGGGGAGATGCTTTTTTAAAAACATACTTCTTTTTTATCGGAACTTCAGGTTCAGTGATTAAAAAAAGCTATCAAAAATAATTTTGGGTTAGAAGGTTGAAGATGACCTGGGCCTGTTGCACATTAATGTACAGAGGAGAAGGCTTTTCAATGGCTCGGAGCAATAGAAACAACATGCATGTCAGTGCCTTTCACTAAGAAAATCAACAGACTCACAGGTCTACAATGAGCCTAACATATACAAATTCAACCCAAGGCTAGATTTATCATTGAAATGACTGTATTAAAAAGTCTGTTTTTACTGAGTTTCACATTCCCATGAGCACCTGGGAAGGTGTTAATCTGAAATGCTACACAAGATCTGGATGGAAATCAAAGCTTTCATTTCCCATCATGCATTGATGGGGGCCTGCACAGTTATTGTAGCCTTCAGAAAAAGGTTTGAAATGAATTGATATGGTAATATCTAGTCAACGTATTCTACTGAGTGGGAGCTGTGTGTTTGCTCCATTAAATTCGTTATGAAGGCTGCGGTGTGGGTTTAACACATAGAACAGGGCCTCCTTAGTACATCCTCAGATACATCTGATGCTGAAAGTTGGGCAGGTTTAAGAGAATCCTCTGGCTCAGAAGAACCTCTGAGGTCCAGATCAGATCAGAGGGGGGGGTTCTTTGGGGTGTCCTCTCTCTGGTGCTGCTGTTGATGTAAAGAGTTCCACTTTGAGCTCTGTAACCTCTCTGCTCTGTGTTATTTCCTCTCTGCAGGGCAGAAGATCAACAGCTGAAGCTGGACAGAAGGCCTGGATGACATGTGGAGCTGGAGAGGAGAGAACCATCCCAGCTTTAGAGCGCTCAGACCTGATCTGAGGCCAGATGTTGTGTTTTTGTACAGAGATGGTCGCTTTGAGTCAGACCTTTAGGAACCGGGTGGATCTGCAGGACAGACAGATGAAGGATGGAGACGTGTCTCTGACTCTGAAGGATGTGACCGTAAATGATACAGGAACATATCAGAGTAGAGTCAGTGAGACACAAGAAAGAAACAGAGAAATGTTCAAGAAACCACCTTCACCATCCATCTGGACGTAGGTCCTCCCCCTCCAGGTGAGTGTGTGTGGCTCTGAGGGATGTTCTCAGATGGTTTATCCTTCTTTTGCTCCCAGAGTCTCAGCTTCTTTGGCCTTTGTGTATCTGAGCTCCTGCTGGCACAGCTGAACTTTTCATTTAAGCCCAAAGAGAATAAATCCTTCCACTTTTTACTCAGAAGGTTTCCCATCGATGCAGCTGCTTCTATAAGTCTGACTATAAGTCTCCATGTTTTCAGGTTTTAAAGGCTTGTGTCATCATCTCCAAAGATAAAGATCCTGAATAATTCCATTCAGGATCTCTCCAGCTATTCAAATCCTCAAAGGGAGGCCGGCCTGTTTAATCTGAGCTCTGCTGCCCCCTGCTGGTCACAGTGGGCTCATCCTGAGTCTCCCCCAAAGGCAGCAGGTCAAACTCTGCTCTTCTTTGCAATGTTTCAGCTTCTGCACACCTGATTCAGATGAAATGGATCTATTTAAAGGTTTAAAGGCTTTTTTTTCTTCCCAACGGCAGCATCTAAACACATGAACAAACTAAAGTTCCCACATAAACATTTATCTCCTGAATGGGAGGCTAGCCTGTTTAATCTGAGCTCTGCTGCCCCCTACTGTTCACACTCTGCAACCCAGCAGAGAGCTTTGCCCCCACATGGAGGAATGAGTCACTAGATGAGTGAAGATGAGTGTTGTTGCTTCTCCAAAAGAGCTAAAATGTGCCGTAACATTTAGTTGTTCTGTGTGTAGGAACACATATGTGCTGTGTTCACTCACCTGAATATGAAATGCTTGATGGAGAATAGAGGCATTGCAATTAGCAATTAGTAGGCCAGTGCAAAGCTCAACAATGTCCAGAGGAGATATAGTTTTATCAGAATATGGTGTGCCGATGAATGAAACAGCAGACCTCAAGGGCATCAGTTTGACATCCCCGACATAAGACATAAATGTAACAGATTGCCCTCAAAGTTTTCTGTCAGGAGAGGGATTTGAACCCACACCGCCAGCAGAGACTGTGACCTGGACACAGGACCTTGGACAGATCAGCAATCCTGACAGATCCAAGAAGATTTTTTTTAAATGTGGTCACTTGGCGACCACTGAAATTAGAAAAAAAGGTCACAATCTTTGTGGTTAAAAAAAACACAGGGTCATTGGAGAATGTGGCTATGGATCCCACTACCTCTCACATGCTAAGCGAGCACTCTAGCATTTGAGCTAAGTGGAGGAAATCAATTGATCAAATCATGTTCAGTTATAAAAGTTCAACTGTATGCATCCAGAGGGTGTAGCTCAGTGGTAGAGCATTTGACTGCAGATCAAGAGGTCCCCAGTTCAACTCTGGGTGCCCCCTTCTTTCTGAAATATACTCAGTACTGTGATTGTATCAGACAGGATTGTGTGGATGTGTTCCTTAGTGCTTTCTAACCTTGGGGAATGAGATAGTAAATTAAATATTCTTCTTCCTCTTTTTGGACACTTTGACCTGCAGCACAGGAATGGTGGCTGACAGTTCTGTAACTGTTCATTAGTGCTTGATCTCTGATTGAGCATTCCTCCAAGCGGTAAACAGTTAAACCAAAGAGAGCTTGTGGAAGGGACGGGTGTTCTGAAAAGAACAACAGAATGTGTCAGAACAAGCTAAATCTGCCTCTGGAATGTCTGAACATTCTATGTTCTTTGGTATCTCAAAACTGAAAATGACCAACGGTGATCATTCTTTGATATTCAGACACAATTTAGAGAGCATCTGTCTTCAGGATTTAAGATGATTTTTAACATATGGAAACAATTTTAAAAGTTAAAAACAGCAACAACACAAGCAAGGGAAGCAAACTGTCAGAAGAGGAATTT